ATATATTTATTGACAGTGAAAAATACTGTCCAGTGACGAAAGAAATCAGAAATTATCCAAGGAGCCACGGGGATTGAGCAGACATGGTCTGTGTAAAAGATTGTGAATGTTATTTCATTTCTGCTACTATCCAAGAGTACTTCCCACGTGCAACAACCGGGTGGATTAGTTACTGTAGCTTGTTTTTTTTTTTTAACAGCATGGCCTGTGATGGTAAGTTTTACCACTCTAACACCCTACTTTTGACGTATACAGATGACACACATGAGAATGTAAAATTGTCACAGCTGTCTTTATTAACCTTGAAATTTAACATTAAACTTACACCTTTTTTGGTCAAAGACCTTTACTAGATTGTTATCATGCAATATGTTTAGTAAAATATTATTGGAAAATCCGTTTTAACACATTGTTATTATATAAACTCCAAATCTTAAAGTTACAATGGCTAGGGGAACTATCCCAGATAAAGCTGATTATTACATGACACTGGAAAAATATTTTTATTTAACGGCGAACTATATTTAATCTAACATTGAAAACGATAAGACTTGCAATAGAATTGAAACATTGCAATAAACTCAAAGAGATAACTAGATTCAATCCAACAGGATATTGCCTACTACGTGAGGATGAATACCATATATAATATTCCCAGCTACTTCTTTTTATAACTTATCCTTAAAAAAATGCTCATCTGGGTAAATTTACATATGTATCTCAAAAGTAGATACGCATAAATATAAGCACATAACGTTAAACACGGATATAGAACACAACAAAGTTCAGAGATCATTTATCTTCTACATCAGAGTCAGGATCATTACTTTCACCAAACTATACCAAGTACTGTGCACGGGAACATTTTACCACTGATCTATGGCACTTGCACCCTAGATAACAGGTACTTGTTTCTTGGTATAGGAGCAGTTAGTACTGCAACCCTTTTTGCAGCCACATGAGACTGATTTTGACATATCGTATGGCCATAGTGGTGTGGTAACAGGCACTGGTACAAGCTGAACTCCACTCATAGTCCATCCATCTTCATCGAGGGGGGGGGGGATTACCGGCTTTGTTATGTGTGCTGTCTTATCAATTATTGTGGCCAGAGCAGACCTTTTTAGGTGTTGCATGAAGACGTCCTCATTAGGTGGCGGCAGCGTCATTAACGTAGTATTGTTGTTGAAGAACTTATTGGCTCTGATGTCTGCTACACTAGACCTAGCCATTTCCACATTCTCTGTGTACACAACAACCAACAAGTCCCTTGCCTGATTTATAACCTAATCAGTGTCTGCAAAAATTTCAAGGACACAAATGTTGATCTTTTTACTGGCTACCAGCCAGTTCTCTTACTGGTAAAATATGGGTAGATGGTAGTATCCTTTTCACTGAGATTGTGGATGAAAGGTAGTGATCGATACTGATCTGATCCGTGAATTCGCAAATAATTGTCAAGTCCAGTCCGTACCCATAAGACCCCCTCAGGTATATCTATGTACTGCCCACAACGTTATTAGTTTGAAATATAAAACTACAGCACTACGTTATTAATTAGCCTTTTCTTGAACACCTTTGAACATTCTGACAATCTCTGAAACTGGGGCTTAGAAGCCCAATAAAAGTAATGTTTCTCTCCATTAGAACGTTTTTTAAAATAATGTTTGCGTAAATATAATAACGCAATTAAAATTATATTTTTCTTATTTTAGAAATACAAATGGACAAGTGATGGTAAAACGTTTTCGACATATTTCTTAATATTTTCATGTGTTGAAGGGTCACTCATTCTGAGCCCAATACCCGATTTAAAGTAGTTCGTTGACAAGGTTGTGCACACAGATTTTCGTCCTGGGTTACCAAAGATTACATTTTTATGCCACAACTTTTTACTGCAGCCCATGTCTGTTTTCGTGAAAAATGGGGGTTTGGCTCCGTGAGTAAATAGACTTCATAACCCAGAAACTGTAAGCAAGCTACTATTATAAATCTTTGAACAAAGTAATATGTTTGAATTGAACTGAAGAGGTTTTCTCTTGAATCTCATTCTCCAAGGTTTTATTTTGATGCGAAGAAGTTCGCAAATAATTAAATTAACTTCCTTTTTTTAAAGGTATTAACGTAATAAATTTAAACCCATTTCAAATACTGAATTAATTAATCAAAGGCTAGTTAGTTTCTTTTGTATGTTGTCCAAATGCATGGATTTTATGACACTAGTAAATTTTGCATAAAACCTGTACTTAAACAGTATTATGTAAGCTTGAACACTAGGCTCTATTGTTGTCCTCAGTTGATTAGAAAAAAACAACAACAGAGTATTTGTTACTTTAATTTTCTGTTCTTTGCAAGCATATAGTACTGAAGAGCAAAAAGAACAGCTAGTGAACGTGATCGTTTCATTTACTCTGAAGTCGGGGAAGCTGGGAAAGTTTCAATAAAAAGTCGTTAATCAGATATAAGATTGACGAAGAGACTGAAGAGAAAAATCTGTGAATGAAGAGATAGGGATGGTATTGAATTCATGCTGGGAAACAAGATAATGTGATGTGAATGTTTCTTACGTAAGTTACATTGTAAGCCAAAGGTGGTTAAATTGAAGATTGTTTTTAAAGTTGTAAAGTATAATAGTTGTCACTTCCAATATAGTTATCATTTACTCAGATTTTAACATTTAGCATTGTTTTCTATAGCAGCTATATTATGGCTGGATTAACATGACAGTATGCCTCATTTATTCAGTGTTATTTTGCTTAAGGTACATCTATCCGGTTTTTTGTTGACAACTAAAGCTCTCATTTTTTTTGGTTATGCATAACTAGAAAAAAAAAATGTAATCCAAAACAGTAAAACGTTTATATACAGAGTACTTTTTTTTACTAAGATGATTCTGGGAGAGAGATTACATTCTAAATTAATATTGTGAGTGCATTAAAATACTTAACAAGAAAAGTTTGGAACTTTTGGCTAATGTTCGAAAAATTATTTCTAGTTAGATGTGCCACTACAGAAGAAACTCGTAGACGAAAGTTCTCTTTCTCTCGTGGACTAATTCAGCATTATCTACTTCAAATCAAATTTATTTAAATGCAAGTCACCTAGCTCAAAATCTATTCATATATTATATTAAACAATTTTTACTTGTTAGATAAAACTACGTACGTGATATGTTAAAATAGTTAAAACCTAGTGCATTAACAATAAAGCACATTTGGAATATATGAACAAACTGACTACGTGACAAACTCATGAGTGAGACGAATTCCAAGAAGTAACTTTAAAACGATAATAGGAAAAGTAAAAACAACAACAACAATAACAATAACAACAAATCAAACATCTATAAGAACTTTGTCGTATTTTCAAACCAAAGTCCCTTGCTTATGGCTTCTTATAAATTACAGTGTTTTATATCAGTACTAGTTCACTTTAATTGTCTGATTATCTTTCTGAACTGCCGTAATTTGCAAAGTGTTTTATTATTTATCCAAATTTTATATAAGCATATTATGTCAATATATCGAACACTTAATTATTAAAAAAAAAACTTCTAACTCTGTAATAGAATCAACTTAAATATCAGTATATGTAAAGAAGCCAACCACTGGCGCACACAATGTAAGATTATATGCATTAATTGTCAAACTTCTGTAAACGAAATGATATCTCAGTGAGTATTTGTGTGCATGTAGTTCGAAACATTTTTTTACTCATAATTTTTAAAAATTAGAGGTTCTCTAGTTCTGAAACGCAAACTAAGGTAAATATATGTTGTACTCTTTCATCTAAAACATCTTGTAATATGCTAGATGCTTTCAACTCCAACTAAAATCCAAAATTTGGAGTTTTTACACTTACGCTATGAAGATATTCTAATAATTTTACACTCGGTGCGAAAACTAAAAGAGTATTTTCTAAAAGAAAAAAAAATATTGTTTTGACTTATATTTGTATTGTAATAATAGTAGATTAAAAATATAAGACTTAACTTGGTTTTAGAGACATCTGCACAACTCGGACTACGTAACAGTAGGGATATATCGTGTATCACGTGTGAGTTCTCACGATAGACGGAACATAACTACTGTTGGAAGTTCCACTTCGGCAAATGCTTTAAAACCAAGATATAACTTATATAAATAATTGTACACTAAGGGTTCAGTGGTGAGTTGGAAAACTTATAACTCTAAGTTCGGTGTTAGATCCCTGTGATGGGCATAGAGCAGATAGTCCATCGTGAATCTTTACAAAAAAAAAAACATCAATAATTAATAAAATAAGTTCAAAACGAACATACACCAACACTGTTTATCCACTGTAATTCCATGTTTGGTAAAGAATAATTTTGTTTTGAATTTCAACCGATTCTTGACGGTCAGTACGAAGTCAAGAACAGGTTCTGAATACCACAAAACCTCTATGTGTAATGTGATAGTATTTACATTAATATTAGTTGTTACATTAATATTCGTTTTAATCAGTTCTTTTACTTGTTAGTTTTTACATGTATATTAGTTTAATCAATTTTGTTAAGTTTTAGTTGTTACAAGAATATTTGAATTAATCTTATAACAGTTGATTTTCTATTTCTTGAAGATATCTTTAAATCTCCAGATATTTTGGTTTTTCAACACAAAACTAATAACCAAGCAGAATTTTGGGTTAAGTATAAACAAAGTATGTACTACTGACAACACGTGTACACTGAATTATCAATCTCTGTGAACGATTTGAATTAATCCGAATTTAATTTTTACAAAGATTTTGCAAGGTTAAAGAACAAAATAAAATTAAAATGATCTATTATTTTATTGTAACTAATATATATATATATGTGTGTGTTAAGTCAAGACACAATTCTCTCTCAAATAGAAATATCATTCACTGATCAAATATATCGTTAGAAAGGTGAAACAGATAGACTAAGAATATGCATGTAACAGCCTAATTAACTTACAAATCTACGGCAGTATATAAACACAACCTTTTTAGCTTACCTTGCTAATGCGAACTGAATCAGAAATCACGACAGGAGCCAATTCTGGCACTGTTCACTTTCATCTATTCGAATGAGATAAGGCAAATTCTTCCTTATCTAAGAGGTCGATTGGAAAAATTGCATTTTCTAAAGTAAATTATTCAAGGCTGTATAATTCTAACATTTCTTCAAAGGTTTTTACTTGATCAGGATTCAGTATAATACAAACAGAACCAAAGCCCTTTACGGCTGCAGCCAGTGCCAAGTTAAGACTCACTGAAGCACATGACGTTACCCGCGACATCAAGGATGTTGAATCCTATCTCAAGGAGTTCACTCATTGCTGAAATGCTCTAAAACTCACAGTCACAACCCCCACAGTACAAGCCCGTGCTATCCAATCACGTTCTGCTCATCCGTTTTCATACGCTAGCGCGGGTGTTTCCATAGCAACTTACTGGGCCAAGAATCATCGAAGTGTAGAAGTTCCTCAAATTCCACAAGACTGAGAGTGACGTTTTTGTTCACAACGCAGTCTTGAAGTGGTAAATCCAAATTGATTGAATGGTTTTATAATCTGTAAACAGCTGCAATTATTATTAAAGGTCTTCGATATTGAAAAGACGAGTGGTTTGATAGTATTTTAATATCACACCTTTTTACTTGAAATAACACGTTATTCACACTCTATCGTATAACCTGTCTATCAAGTGTGTGATAAAAGTTATTTCATATACTCTGCATTATATCATATATTCTGAGCTGAGGAACTCATAATAGCTGTGGCAACTATTAGCACTAAATGCATATATTTCCAACAATTCTTACATTCCAAATCAATAACATGTACCTACTACACAAGTGTAAAGCACCAGAGATTTAATGTTTGATTGGATTTTGGGGATTACACTACTTCTTAAGCAACATTGCTTAAAACACCATTTTCAGTTATTCATATGGATTAACTCGAACTCTTTCGAATATTTTATTCTTGTTTGAGTCTCTTAAAACCCACTTGCTTCTTTATTATTAAGTTAGAATTAACCTTTTATTTTGCACAGAAGGAAGTGATGGAATGTGACTTGTATATTGAAGTATGAACAACCTACGTCTTTATCATTAAGCTAGGGTTAACCTTTTATTTTACATAGAATGAAGCTATGGCACGTGACTTTGTATATTAAAGTATCTGACAGAGTGTTTGAAGTTTCTGCTAGCTTATTACTAAGGTTATTTTACAGTCCTCATTATTTGCTTGTTATGAAGTTTCAAGTAACTAGATCTCATTTTTATGTAATCAGTTTCTTTATACCAAAGTTCTTTTAAGAAACTGTTAGGTTGAAGTTGTGAAGTGAAAAATAATAATATAAATTTATGGCATGGAATTGCAGAAGATCTTACATGTATAAATTTTCTTTTATGAAGGAAATAAAGAAGCCTAGTAGTTTGAACATAGCTGACCGAAAGAAAACTATTTCCTCATTAGTAATGAAAATAGTTTTGGCATTTTACTGCAACTATCGAGTAGATTTAGTTTAATATTAATAACTTCTGATCAAAAGGTAGCTAAATAGAAAACAACTTATAAATCAATAAAGCCAATTTGATATATTAAACTGACTAGATGTACATAATATCATGAATCCATACACAAGAAAACTAAAACCTATCATATATATAATGCACTGAATCATCAGTTGAATACTCTCGATACTAACGATGTTTTCTGCCTTACTCTCAAACTGAAAACAATAGCCAAACTGTGATTTAATACAACCCTGTTCAAAATGTAAACTAAAGTTATTTGTGCCTTGTCAAAACGTTTGTATGTGTGCATGTAAACAATAAGCAATGATAGCAACTTATTTTTATTCTTGGTGATAGCATTTTCAAAGATATCTTATTGAACATTTTCTCATACAAACACCTATAACAATATAAACAGACATATGTAGTATATATTTATTGACCATCGTAGTCATTATTCTACTTGTTCACAGAAAATGTTATAACGCTAGAAACCAGGTTTCGATATCAATTGTGGGCACAGATAGTCTATTGTGTAGCTTTGCACTTAACAACAAACAAGCAAACACAGAAAATGAAATTTAACGTAAACAAACTAGGTCAATTCTCACATTTTCCTTATTAGTAGTTTCCCATTTCTCCAGATAGTTCAACTTTCAGGAAATGTTTTAAGAGTTAACTAAGTTAGTGACTAGAAATTTTATCATTTCTCACTTTATCTACGTATTTAAATATTGTTTTTTAGAACATGTTTCCAGAAGCTTAACAAAAATAATAAATATTTTCTTTGTAATCCAAAATTTGATGAGCTTAGTATTAATGAGGATTAATTTCAGGGTTTGCTGGGTTGTGTTAATTATACGCTTCTACCTCTACGACGTCTAAGAAAACTTTCTTAATATATTACAAAATTCTACTTTTATTTTTGTTTCTTTTTCATGTTTTGAACTTAATGCCAGTTATGCTTGGAGAAGTTTTTTTGAACTAGGAAAGTGTCAAAAAAAAGAGAAAACAGCAATAACAATCAATGATAAGAGAGAATGTCTGATGCACTATTGTGTTTTTCTATCTAATCAACGAGCTAGCCTGCTGTGTATTCTGAGACCAGATCCCGCCACGTTCAGCAAACTTGCTTAGTTACCGCAGGCTTTCAGTAGTAGAGCCATGTGCCGTTTGATACGAATACTACTTTAATCAATAAATATGCGATAAAGGATAAAATAGGCCGCTGCAACTTTGAGAAGTATGAGAAATTATAACATCTGATAAGGCTCAGGTGCTTTAAAGCAGAAGGGCTCAGGTCTCTATTAATCAACCGAACTATGGTTTGCCAGTCTAAGCCTTATATAAATTCGCCCCTCGTGTCGATTAAGGAAGTGAATGTAGCCTAGTTTTGAATAGAAAGTTTAAAGTGCTGTTTGTAACAAAGATGTATTGAAGACAAATACATAAAAAAGTGTTTAAAATCCATTACCCTCCATCGATTTAAAGAAAAAGTAAAGTAAAATCCAAGTTTTTTGTTTTTTTTAGTTATTCTGTCGTAAAACTTTCCATATATTCGAAACTTAAGCATTGTGCTTGACTGCATGCAATTTGTATAAATGCATTAGTTTTTGATAAATTCAACTGCCAACAAGTAGGTGCAATTTATAATGTATTTAGCATTTTGCACTTGCATTAGTTTATGATACATTTAAGTAAGCATGAAATTTTGATACATACAACTATGTGTACGATTGCATGCGGTTGTTGATGCAATATTTTATACGTGACTGTATCAGCCTTTCACATATAACGCATATACTGTGATAATGCTGTTTTTCCACTAATTTCTTGCTATATAACTTAACTCTTGTTCGCAGTTTCACTTGTATATCTTATTAATTGTTTCCGTTTTGTTATTTGGTTTATACTGAATGATTACATTATAGTTTCTCATGTACATTACATTATGTAAGTCATCATTATAAAACGCGGGTTAATTAATTATTTTATAATAAGATTTCCTGAGTATTTTCCAAATTAACTAAAAGACAAATTGTTCTGGCTGGTGAAAATATCCCAGTGTAATTACATGACAGCAGTTATCCCTATACCCCCCTATGTCCGAAGGATGACGCCTCAGAGGTCAGGGAAGGGGTAGAGACAATGATGTCACTAGAGTCGATTATGTCATAGATCCACGAAGTAGAACCAGAGAGCGCATTGTTAGGCTGCCATGAGATGTGAACATGACGTCCACGAAGTGACACTAGAGGGCGAGTTGCTCAACATATAATCTTATAGAGGATGATGACTTCATTGTCTCAGAATGTAATTAATGGCTAGATTTAATACAGTCTGGATAAAACACTAATTCATTACTTTTATATTTAATGATACTTTTTTACATTTCTTGACCTTTTATATGTAAATCACGTATCATCCTGAAAATGATGCCTTTTTTACATTTCTTGACCTATTATATGTAAATCACGTATCATCCTGAAAATGATGCTTATTTAACATGCAAACTTATGACAGTCTTAATTTTTCACTAGATTGACTTTATGCTATTTCACATGTTACATTATAGTTTTATCTTACATAAGGCTTACAAGTGTGGATGGTATTATTATACTTCCACATACGATTATGTCATCGATGTCTAGAGTTAATTATGTTACAAGTTAAACCGTTATTTTAACGACAATCTTACTGTCTGTAGGATTTTAACAAAGCTGCTGTTTCACTTTCACAAGTCAATGAGACAACTGTTATAACATGCATATTATCCATTATTTTAATGAGGCAGTTATTACAACCAGTAGCTTATTTTTATCATCCTGAAAAAGACACTTATTAAAAAAATTCTTATTTCAATGAAACAACTATTGTAACATACATATTATTCATTATTTGAATGAGACAGTTTTGTCCTGAAAAAAAAAACGCTTATTTAATATGCAAACTTATGGCAGTCTTACTGTTTCACTAGTTAGTCTTTATTCATATAACTGTTCTTGTCAAAATAATATTTCTTGCGATAAAGGACAAGAAAATACATAACCAATTTTGATTTAAAATCTTGATTATAGTCTTAGTCTCTACATTTAAACCTACTTTTTAAAATTGTTGCCCTGAAAAGGACATAAAGACTGTTATTTCAATGAGGCAACTATTATAACCTACATATTATCCATTATTTGAATTAGGGAGTTATTATAATCAATAACTTACTTTTATCATCCTGAAAAGAACGATTATTTAATTCTCTACCTAATATAAGATATTCTTTCACTTTATAAGTATATATATATATATATATATAATGTATGATTGGATTTTACTACAATTAATAAATGAACGACTTACTGTTTATTTATCCATTCTTCTATTAAAATTTCATAAAACATTGAGACTGTCTAACATTAAGACACATTTGTTTGTTAGGAATCATCACAGACATACAAGTGGTGTAGGCACTGACGTCATGACAATTTGTGTGAGGTTGTCACGTGATCACACATGCAGTGTGGGGCTGTGAGATATTTCAGCTTTTCAGTTGATGACAAGTTTGACTTTTGTTCATTAGTCAAATGAGAAAAAAAAATCATGTAAAATTTTGTGTACATTTAAACATAGTAGTTTTCCAAATACACAAATGAACATAACCAATTTTTAACTATAATTCTTCAATTATTTCACTTTATAGTATGATTATAAGTTATGAAACAGTACTCTGTGATTATCTGATATATAAAGCTCATGTTTCGTCATAGCCCAATATAGTA